CAATGACTGGGATTAGGAATGTAGGAATTAGGCAGGAAATAAAACAAATGCGTACCAATGAAGATAGCATGCCAGGATGAGCAACTAATTTCTGCATACCCAAAGGCCCCCTTGGAGGACAGAAAAAGAAGAAAGGCAAACACGTAAGCAAGTAATTTCTTTCCATTGGTTAAAATGAGGTTTAGGATTAATAGTTCTCTCTCAAAATTTTTAGATATTTTCTTTTTACTTTAATCATATCGCTAGCAGACAGGCCAATGGGTAAAATCTCTCCTCACATTTACATCTTGCCTTGCACTCAGCTCCAAGATTTGTACTACTATTTCATTCACTTTTAATCTTCTTAATAAAGTAGTTTAGCATACTGCTGTTCCGAACCTTTAGTCTTACCTAGAAGTTCTCTTGCAAAATTCCTTTCTCATGAGTTTCTATTTGTAGCTTCTAAATATACTATGGCTGCTTCTCAAATAAGAGATCTATATTTTCAAAACAAAATATACTCTTGGGGTGCCTGGGTGGTTCAGCCATTGGGCGACTGCCTTCGGCTCAGGTCGTGATCCCAGGGTCCTGGGATCGAGCCCCACATCGGGCTCCCTGCTCAGTGGGAAGCCTGCTTCTCCCTCTCCCACTCCCCCTGCTTGTGTTCCCTCTCTCGCTATCTCTCTCTCTCTGTGTCAAATAAATAAATAAATAAATAAATAAATAAAATCTTAAAAAAAAAGAAATAAAATATACTCTTACATGGCTATGTTTTAGTTATTAGTTTTTTCCCACTAAATCTTTGAGCTACGAACAAGGCTATAGTTAATCTGAGTTATTACTATACTTTGTGCATTGATTCATTAGTTCATCAACTGTCAACTCAACACCTGTGTCCTAGATTCATGAATAAAGAGATGAAGATAGCATAAACCCCTTTCCTCAAGGATTTCCACTGCTTGAGAGGGAAGATAAAAATGATAAAAATGTAGACAAGGCAAATAATTATAGTGTAATGTGCTAAATGTTCTGACAGAGTATGAACAAAAGTAAGTAGGAATGTATGGAGGGTCATAACTATAATTTGTCTAGGAAAATATTACAGAAGGCTTATACAGATGTTCCATTTAAGTGGTAATCAGACTTGGCAAAATAAGAAAAAGGAATGACTTCTAAAATCTTAAGTAAAATTCTTATCCTCTTTCTGTTGGTTTTCTCCTAGATATTCTCCTAAAAAGATAACTGGTTCTTTCGGAATTCAGTTCATTCAACGTAATTAATACAAAACTTTTAGTTAGAAACTACTAACCATATTTTAGGATATCCATGTAAAAATAAAATCTTTTATTTCAAAGAAACATATCAAAACAAATTCATTCTATTTACTACCAACTGTATGTAAACTCAATATTCAAGATCTGTTCTATTAAAAAAAGTAACATTTTACAATATAGTGGGTATATCAACTGGCTTCTGCTCCTATAACAAAATGCCAGACTGAGTGGCTTAAACAACAGGAATTAATTTTGTCAAAGTTCAGGGGACTAGAAGTCTAAGATTAAGGTGCTAGTAGGTTTGGCATCTCCTGAGAACCCTCCTGTGGGGTTACAGACGGCCACTTTGTTGCTGTGTGGCTCACATGGCCTTTCATGTACATGTGCTCAAGGAAAGAGGAGCTGGATATCTTTCCCTCTTTTTAAGAACACCAAACCTATCAGACCCAGGTCCTACTCTCATGACCTCATCCAACTCTAATTACCCCCCAAAGGCCTAATTTCCAAATATCATCACACTGGGCTTCAACATATAAATTTGGGGCAGGGGAGAGTGGCGGGCAGAACCATAAACATTCAGTTTGTGAGAGTAGGTTAAGCAGTATGTTAGATTTGTTAATAAATAAGAAAGCTGAGATACTATCCCTACCCTGAAGATCTGCATTAGCTTCCTGAGGAAAAGAGAATTGTCCTTGCATACTTGTTAGTAAAGCTTAATTCAAAACAATGCCAAATTAAAAAAAATCTTAAATTACGGAATTATTCTCAAAATCATTTTTCCTATCACTGTTCTGTGACTTAGATTATCTGATTTATGACAATGAAATATTAAAACCATCTGGTAATATTAGAGTGATACTTTTCAGGTTTTTATAGCCAGGCTTTAATTTGAAAGTTTAAATTATATGTACGAACATTTTCTATAGGCATACCTGCCATTTTCTTACCATAAAAAAACTTTATGTTTCAACAGTGCCTTTAGAATATGTGAAATTATATATTATATCCTCACATATGATAGTGGGACACAGCTATATCCTCCAGTCTTAATTACAGGAAAAGTATAGACAACTGTAAAGCTTAGCTTTATTGTTTTATAAATGAACCAGTAAAGTTCATTTTAGTGAAAGGAGCACATGCTTTTCATAAATTAAATCTCACATGGTAAGTACTCATTTTCAAAATTAATTTAATTATATGTTTAAAGTTTAATTACATTTAATTAAGCATTTAAGTTTTATATGAAATAAATGAATTATCAGTTAACTGCTATGAAATGAAATATTGCCTTGATAATTAAAATCTATAAATTTTCCTATTCTGTGCAAAACCGCTAGTTCTCAAAAAACACTCTGAAAAAAAAAAACCACACATTTTAAAGACTATAGGACTATATTCTCACGGCTGCTCAAGGTGTAGTTTTTCCTGGCACCTGGCTTCACGTGCTGTCCATTTACTACAACAGCAAATGGAGGCAGCCTGGCCCAGAATAAAAAGCAGAGGTTTTGAAGATTTGGGCTTGGGTCAGAGACTTAGTCACTAACAGCCTGAAAGAATGGGAAAGCTACTTAGCATCTCTGACAGCAAGCTCCTAAAAAATGGGGATAATATTACTTACTTTTCAGGGTTGTGGGAGGAGCAGATGAAATATCCTATGGTCAAATGCCTGGAACAGTGCCTGACATGGAACAGGTATTCTTAACAAATGTTAATTCCCTCCTTCTTTTAGTTGCTGAATGAATGAACAAAACCCTTGTACTTTGGGGCTTAAAAAAGTTTTGTTCTTTTTTTTTAAACATTATTATTTTTTTTTAAGATTTTATTTATTTATTTGGCAGAGAGAGAGAGCACAAGTAGGCAGAGCGGCAGGCAAAGGGAGAGGGAGAAGCAGGCTCCCCACTGAGCAAGGAGCCCAAAGTGGGGCTCAATCCCAGGACCCCGGGACCACGACCTGAGCCAAAGGCAGATGCTTAACAAACTGAGCCACCCAGGTCCCCCTAAATATGTTTTATTCTTAAAATATTAATTACAAAAGTAACACATTTTTTGTTTACTTACATTATACTTAATAGACATTTTACATTTTTTTTATTTCCTTAAGTACTCCATGAATGGAGGCAATATAGCATTATAGCGAACAGAATTTTGAGTCAGAAAGAACTGACTTTGAATTTGGGTTCCACCATTTACTACTTGAGAAATCAAGGAGAAATTATTTCCCAAGCCATAAAAGTATATGTATGTCTGGTTTAGTGAATGGCAAAAATTAATACGATTGATATATTGATTATAGTATAATCAATATAATCATTCAAACTTAACAAAATATTAGTGATGTAGGTAGGACAAATGGTATCCCCCTACCCCAATTTTTCACAGATATTTATTTTCACTGAATTTAAGGGAATTCCCAAGGTTAACAGTAGGATGGACTAAGTCAGAACTCAGATTTCTTTATTTCTTTATCAGTGCTCTTTCCTTCATAACATAGGAAGGTAAAGGCAAAGGACAGCAATGTCTCTTGAAGCAGTAAAGCAAAAAGAGAGGGATATGATTTAGGTTAATCCTGGTTCTATCACTTAATAGTTGAGCCTCAAATAAATAACTTCTGTGAATTTCAGTATCTTCTGGAAAAGGGGAATACATACTTTGTTAAGATTCATACAAGAATTGCACTAGGTAACAAATGTAATACATAGCCTGAGTGACCGACACACACAGAAGTCATTCATTAATGGTTGCTATTAACACTAAGACATCAAAGCACCACTTTTGGTAAGTCTCAAGCCACAGAATGGAGAAACCATAATGAAGTGAAGACTTTTTGTTTTTGAAAGAGATTTAATAACAATAAATAGGATAGTCTTCACGAAATTCTCAAGTAATATTCCTGGAAAAAGACTCTAGATTTGTAAGTCATTTCAGTTCACAACTTCCTGTATTAAATCTCCATGTAATAACTCATCTCACTTTGAAAATAATTGTTTTACAACATGAAAGAAAAGAGAGGCAACAACCTATTTCATGGATTACTTTCCTTGATTCAACTGCAGTAAGAATTGAAATTACATATTCTTAACACTTTATAAATTATTCAATGTCAAGTACTGTAATTGACAGAGTTTTACCTTAATAAAGTTAGTAGCACTATAAGCATGTGTTGGTTTAATATTTAAAACTCTTCACTGTAAACTCAAAAAAACCTCTAAATTCTTCTAAGGCAACCTAAAAAAATACAGATTGCTGTATTTACAGAATAACTATTAAAATAGAAAGCCTTAATAAATAAAATATTGGAAAACATACACTTTCTGTTTATTTCTGAAATAACACTTACTGAAAAACAGCAGTACTTCATACTACTTTCACTGCTATTATTATCAGTAAGTAGTATTTAGATATCTGTCTGCATTTAGGGCTAAAAGACCCTGATTTAAAAACTATTCCACATTTTCTTGAAAATAAAAACAGCAGGTATTATATTTTTGGTATCCAGACTTTTCAAACTGCAAATTAAGAATAACAGCACATCCAACAGTTACAGGACCAGAAAAAGAAAACCACATATAAAGAAATAATATGAAACATATGTACAATTAAGGTTACATATTATATAGAAAACAATGATTATTAGGATATGTACCTCTGGTTATGCGTTCTTTCAAAGAATGTGGTAAAAATGCATTCTGTTAACCTACGAAATGCATTCTGTTAACCTGTGAAATCAGAATTAATTCATTAACTTACCATGGTTCTTTATTAAGAGTTGAAGATAATTTTTCTGGAAAAAAAAATCCATGCCATTTTGAAGTCTCAATTAGTTCACGTGGCATCCTTTTTGATGCATCATAATAGTGCCCAAATCTTGAAGAAGATACTGGTCCAGACTGTTAAGAAAAGCCATATTGGTTGTTAAAAAATTACCGTTTTTTTTTAAACTACAGTGTATTTGAACTACATTCAGCAAAATACTGATATATTTGTGCATTTTAATGCTGACAGGAAGAGCTATTATACACGGACTTACTAAATTTCAAAGAAGCATACAACTTTTATTATTTTAAATGATAACTTAGAAATCAACCTTTTCTTCTCTCATGTTTCTTGGCTGCTAGTGGTTCCCTAAATCTGATAAGAATTCAAACACTTCTTTGCTTTTCTTACTGTATACCTTCCTAAGTTAAAAAAATTTAATATACATGTCTTAAGTATTTTTTAAAGGTTCCAGGTTTAAATGACAAATTAAATATGGAATTGCTAAGAACTAATGAAAACTTAAGCCAATGAAATCATTGGTGAGGGGCCCAAAAGAAACTAGCTATTTAAATATATTAAACTGAGCATGATTTAAAAATTAAATTCTCACAAGACAGTGTGTATATATATATATTCAAAATTTCTTACAAATTTAAAATTAAACTTATAGTATAAAATGTATTTGGGTACTCCCGTTGGGAACAAGGCACGTGCTAAAAAGGGAGAATGTATACAAACTACATTAGATAAATCAGAAACCTGACATAATCATTAGTTCATTGATACTTCCTCTTTTGTGGAATTATCAATTTCTCCAACAAATTATCTTTCTCATAAGAAACTCTAGTAACTATTGATGCTGAATTTACTTACACAGGATAGTAAAGGCCTAGTAATAGAACATTCTCATTATATTGCTTTGAATGGACTCTGTGCTGATTCAACATATTAGAAATATATATACACCTCTGTCCAAAATTGAACTACTGACAGATTCCACCTGGCAATAGTTTCTAATCTAAATTTACATAATTTTCACTGTCCTGAACACTACAAAACAGAAATTTCAGAACATTCAACAAAACAGATAATCTGCAGATAATCTGCAGAAACAGAAGAACTTTATGGAGTGAGTTCTTTATTTTACTAAGTAACTGACAACTTTGTAATTTAGATAAACCGACATTTCCTTGACACTAGATATTTGCATTTTAAGACTTAAAGGATTAATATTCTTAAACTGGATGCCTACCAACATAAAATTATATAGTAACATAGAATAAAAAAAATTTAAGTCTTATAGAAATAGTATTCTCAGATTCAGAGTCTGTGGGTTTGGCCTTTATTTTCTAAGTAAAATGACTGTTCACCCCTCCGTAAGACACTGTTTATTTTCATTAATGAAAGGGACCTATCAATCAGCTCAACCTAATGTTTTCAATACAATATACATACAAGTATGGTTCCTAAAACATGATTTATCTATTTACCATGGCAGTATTAACAAATAAATTATGAGATATTAAAGTACGTTTCTTAAAAATAGGGTAAAGTTTTTAAATGCAAAGTTATTAGTATAAAGCAATTTAAACAAGGTCTGTTCTTTGGCCTATAATCTATTCTTTATCCGGATTATAGTTCAGAATGTTTTTACTGCAATCTCTGCTAGAGCTCATCTTTTTATTGTGTAAGTCCAAGCCCCCTTAATGTTTTAGAAAGGCCTTGACTAACTGAACTTTGATCTGATGTCTTCATTGAGAAAAACACCAGGTTGCCCATTTCAGATGCAAATCCTCCTAAGGCCCAATAGAATTTAGTAAAGACAAGCAAAAAAGAAGAAACAAGAAGTTTCCAGGATCCTCTTTGAGAATCCTGGGGCACACTGGTGTCCTTAATCCACGCTGCTCCATGGATTAAGGTAGGTGATAACCTTTCCTGATTCAAAAGAATAAGCAGAGTGCCTACAAACTGGGTGGAGACTAGGATTTGGTAATAATAAAACACCATGCAATAAAAGCTTGGTCTATGTCAGAAGCCTCTGAAAAGGCCTCAATGTACCACATTCCCAGGCCTAGTAGGGAAGCTTGCAAAAGCCTACCTGAATCAAATAAGCATGAATAATCTATTTTAGCAGACTGGCCATGGGGAGAGAGAAAGAAAGAGAGACTTTTCGCTTCTTTTAAGTTTGAGTTAATAAATTTATTAGTGCACTGAAGGTTCTTGAAGTCTTGGGCACTCAGAGAAATATGCTAAATTGCCAAGAAGCAAAGTATGCTTTTTAAGTTGCCGTCTCTATTAATGTTTCTAATTATAATATTAATGTGATAGAAATCTCAGATTTGGGATGAATCAAGGCAGAAAATTGATTTCATGCTGTGACAGTTTACATATAGAACACAAATAATTCATTAAAATGTAAGAATAAATTTGGAAGCTTTTCTTATTACAATTATTAATTTTTTTTAGAAATTAAGAGTAAATATGGCAACTAAAATCTTCACCAGGTAGACAATACAAATTTTATTAATGTTGAAAAGCTTTAATCCTTCAATAAAAATGAAAATGGAAAAATAAATATACCCTTACAGGAAAAATAATTTTGTAAGGTTTTTTTTTCTACCCCAAACACAAAGCATTAAAATGTAATCAGATTTTTAAAAATCCTGTGAAATCTTTTGAGGCTTAGAATTATAAGACAAAGACTTCAAATATTTCCTCTGAAAAAAGATAACTAAATGCTTTAAGTCTGATAATACTCTACGAAAAAACTGTCAACTCCACAAAAAAAAGACACATTAAAAAAATCAAAATATCATCAATAACTAGTCAGTTTTACTCAGTTTGATAAGAACATGTTGCTTTAGTTTTACATTAAAAAACTTCCGTTTCACAGTCACAGACTAACCTTTACCTTTGTCAACTGTGGAACACAGAATAATGGAATGGTTCAGTAAAAATTTACTATGATAAGGAAAAATTAATTCTGATGGGGGGCCAGAAAGAGCACAGAACAATAAAACAATACCATCCCTCACCTTCAGTATGTTAGAAAGAAACAAAACTTTCAGACAAAAGCTGCACCACAAATAAACAGTCTAAATAAGACATTTTCTTATTATTGTTATCATTTCTTGTTTCTCAGTATGGCATAACAGAAAGCAAAAACCCAAATGGTTAACTAACCACTTTGAGCCTCAGTTTAACCACCAATAATAACTATTTTGTTAGGCTGTTGTGAAAATATAATGCAATACTGGCAATGAATATTCTGTAACTGTAAAGCACTACATAAATGGTATTAATTATTACTGTATCATGATTCACTAGAGAATCAGAAGATCTACCACTATCCTTTGTAATTACATTACCTCATTTGAAAAATGGTATCTGTTGTCACCTGCAATATGCACACATCAAGCAGAACTACTGTGGCTGAACCACTAAGACAGAAAGCCAAAGTGTAATGAGGATTTAATATAATAAAGATCTAATACACTACCATGAAGTGGTGGAGCCACTGTAGGCTTTGGTAATAGAACTATATACAGTACTGAAGAAATTAGGTCTCAGAATATGTTGTAAGCTACCAATTGTTGGAGTGAAAAGGGAATAGGATTGATGATTGGATAGGGAAAAAAAGAGCAGACCCACCTAAGAGAGAAAATCAAAATCACAGGCCAAGGGAAGGGGGCCTTTGTAAAACTACACACCTCTTCAACTAGAAGCAGCACTGCATTATACTTTACTGAACTACTGTTACTGACTTAGGTGTGCGTATTCCTGTCCTTGTCTGCATTCCCTAAGTGGGAATGTGACTACACTCTTGGGAACTGGTGGCAACTTACAATAAAAGGTATCTCTGATAAATGACATAGCTAGTTTTGGACTACTTGTTTAATCTTTGCTCATAACAGTTTTAACTATATTATGTCTCAGGTAGAACACAGAAAACCCAGGGTTTTGTTGTTTTTAAACTAATAATGGCAAAGTAAAATCTAGATTTATAAAGTAGATGATAGCTGAAGTTTATCAGTCTTGACAAATCCTCATATATAAAATTTCTGTGACAGGCAAATATACATGCTGGTGACATTTCAAAGAAAAGCAAAGAAGTCAGAAGATTCTATTTTGTAAACTTGACAGAGTTCACTTACAAATACCAATAAACTTAAGTTTGACCACTGACGGTAAATTCAAAATAAGCTATTATTTTACTTGTATTAATTAATGCAACTTAACTCAGTTTTGCATTTAATTCACATACTATATAATTCATTCACTCATATATTCAACAAATAACTACTGAGCACCCACTATATGCCAGTAAAACAAGATATTCGAAATCCCTTTCTTTCACTGAGCTCGCAGCCTAGTAGGAGGAGATAGATGGTATTATCTGGTAGGTGATGATAAGTGCCTTGAAGAGAAATAAGACAGTGAAAGGAGATGAGAGAGAGTGTTTTTTTTTTTTTTTTTTTTTTGTAGAGACTGAGAAAAGAATACATTCCCGATTAAGTGATATTTTAGCGGAGAACTCAAGAAAATGGGAGAGTAAGTCATCTGGGAAAGATCATTGTAAGAAGAGCACGGGGTTTATGTGTTAATATGTGACCACTGAGAAATTTACTTCCATAGAGAAAATCAAAACAACTGCAGGCACACCACCCTCTGGAAAGAAGAGTGGGACAAGGGCTATTCACTTCTATGTAAAGGGGCCAGGAATAGCACTCGTAATTATAATATATAAAGAAACAATATAAGAAACAAAGAACTTTTGCCCTAACTTTAAACAGATTTTGTAACAAGCAGTAAAAAATAAAAGGCTTAAAGTTTCAGTTATTTGCATCTTCATTGACAATTTCACCTGAAAAATGTTAGTGACCAGTGAAAAAACTAAAACATAGCTGAGATTGGAGTGAAAATAAAATAAATGCAAGATGCAAGTGATTTATATAACCTACAACTGGACTGGCATATTGTCTCTACAAGAAAGCTAAATTTAACTTAGAACTTCTGTTCATTATTGACTCTTTCAGAACATACCAGCAGAAAAATTAGAATATAGTCGCTCTTTACAAAAGAGTCACCATTAAGCTCAGGAATTTAAATGAAACTGCCAGCTCAAAGACATGAATGAAGTTCTTTGCCATTAGGGTTCTCAAGTACTAGTCCGACATTCCTAGTCTGCTTTAATCTCTATCACTCTACTCACATTTTCCTAAGCAGAATAACTCCATTTATTCTGGCCTCATACCCAGTTCTCAATCACATCCAAGCTAGGCTATGCCTGCAACAACTGACTACACAGAGCTTCCCTCTATTTTTTAATACACATGTAATGATATTTAACTGTATACATATACTGTAATTTACTTAACCAAGTGTTTCCTGATGGACATTCAGTTTATTTCTAATCTTTTGTTATTAAAAATATGCTACATACATAGATCATATATTCATTTTACATATGAGTAAATATATTCATAATGTAAATCCCCAAAAGGATCAAAGGGTATGTGTTTTTTTGTAATTCTGAAGGATACTACCAAAACACCCTACACAGAAATTGTACCTATTTACATTTCCACCAGCAAAGTATGAAAGTACTAGTTTCCCCACACCCTTGCTAATTTAGTGTCTCACCGAACATTTTAGGTTATTGACAACCTGTAAGAGAAAACTGGCAGGTCAGTGCATTTTTTTTTTTTTAAAGTATTTTATTTATTTATTTGACAGAGAGAGGGAGACACAAGCAGGGGGAGCGGCAGAGGGAGAAGCTCCCTGGGTGGGGCTCGATCCTAGGACCCTGAGACCATGATCTGAGCTGAAGACAGACGCTTAACCGACTGAGCCACCCAGGCGCCCCTGCCAGTGCAGTTTTAATTTGCATTTCTCTTATTGTAACTGAAACTGGGCATCTGTGTTTGTATGTTTAAGGGCCACCTAAATTTCCTTTACATATTTCCACCCATTTTAAAAATTGGGTTGGTAGACTATTCCTTATTCATTTTAGAAGTTCTTTGTATATAAGGAAATTTTATTCCTTATTCTATCAGTTGCAAATAACCTTGCTTCAGTCTGTAGTTTGTTCACAGTCATTTAAATCAGACTTAAAAATCTTATTATTCAAATAGCTTTCCTATCTAAATTAGAACAGTTTATCACTGCTTAATATGTACCTATTATACCATAGTTTATACTTAATAAACAGGTGATACTTACTCAGTATTTGCAGACTGTATAAGTGTATAAATACATTTATCACACACCAAATATTTATTGAGTATTGGGCATTAATATAGATGCTGGAGATATGAGAGAAAATAAAACAGGCTCTCTGCCCTCATAGAGAATTCTGTCTGATGGAGAAAAGAGTTATAGCAACAATTACCTATAAAATAATGTTAGAAGTACTTTAAAATACATGAAGAGCTATGGACAGAAAAATAAGAAATGAGGTAATTATGTATGAAAAGCTGTCATAGTAGTAATATTTGCACTTGGAGAAGGCTGAACTGGTGAATAAGAAAGTGAAAAGCATTACCAGCAGAAATATAAGCAATTTACAAGGAGCAACTCTCATAGGATGGGTGGATATAGTATTTTACACTCACACAGAAGGAGACTAAAAAGTAGGCTTGGATCAGGTTGTATAGATCTTATACACAATCTCAAGAAGTTTGTATTTCATATTGCAGGCTTATAATTACAAATAGGTTTCACCTCACATACTAACTCTCACATATTAGCTGGTAGTGACCACCCTGAATATTGCAGAGAATTCTAAGGCATTGTCTAGGCTTGGCAGAAGGGTTCTATGATTGACAGTCGGCCGTGCATTTAGGAGGAGGCAGTGGAAACAATATATCAAATTAGGCATTTACAGTTAAGGAGTGTTACAAACGTATCTGTCCTTGGGGAAGGTAACAGTGATGTCACTGTAGAAGATGGAAGAGTAGGCTATGGGTATTGTGTCTTATTCAGATTAGAATTTCTCTCTTTTCTACCAATATGATGTCTGGTAGACATTAAAGTGTTCTGAAAAATAAGTAAACAATCAAATAAAGGAGCTAATAAATGAACAGAGTCTTCACCAGGAGCAAAGTTCATAAGCTTTAGTGGGCAGATTTACTGACATTTATTTTCTCAGAAATTTTCCCTTCACTTCCTATCTCTTAGTACATACTGGACAGATGAGGTTATCAGATAGTTGAGTTTGAAAATATAATGATAGAAAATGTATAGGAATAAAAACAGTAATTCCAAAGAATTACCACTTAGGCTGATTATTTACAGGTAACCAAGCTGGATAGAAATAGCTTAATGAGTTCACTTTTTCTGGCTTGCAACCCTAGAATAAAAGATTCTATATGGAAATTATGGAAGAAGTGAAATCTATTTTGGTAAAAAAACAATTTGCCATAATTTTATTTTTTAAGAAATATCATCTTGATAAAATACAAATAAAATATCTAGTTATTTCAATAAGAAAATATATATTGTAGTGCATTTTAAAAATAACAGGTATACCATAAAAGATTCTATAAAATGAAAACAAATACATTTGCAAATTTTAGAAATAATTTGTATGTTGACTTGCCTCCATCTTGGGTAATAACTGGTAACGCCAAGCTATTTTCATCTTAATGTTAGAGTCTGGTGTTTGATGATTACATATATCTTCATCTAAGTCTTTTTTATAATTATCATCAAGTAATGGTGCAGGAAGTTCCTAAGAAAACAGAATGACACATTATTGAACATCTGTGATTAAAAAATGTGACAATTTTCTTAAATCATAATATTAGCAATACTAGAACTTTCCAAGACCTTGATGCCTCAAAACTGATCGAAGCATACAGTCATGATAACATGGCTATTTCTAAAACAGAGGAAAATGGTATATATAATAGTGTGAAGTTTTTTTTAGCAATGAACTAGAATTTAAAGAAAATATTCAAATTTTTACACTATCAAAAACCAAATGCTACTGCAACAAGAGGTATGATCTCTCTCTCTCTCTCTCTCTGTATATATATATATATATACACACACACCTAAAGCAAAGTCTGGAATTAGCATTTATGTATTACATGTAATTATTGTTATGTCTGCTGCAAGGTAAAAATAAGGCATGTGTGCGATCTGTTTACTGATTTGTGATACTAGAATTCAAAAAACTCATTCACCTAAATAATCAGTGAAGTAACAAAAATAAGACATTTATTTTGCCCTTATCAAATGTTAGTTTTGTACCTGAAAGCCTATGTCTCTTCTTTTAACAATGAAAATAGAATTTAAAATCTCATTAAGTAAAGAGACACTGAAGTCCAATTTTATCTTTTCTTTTCTGGAAGCTGACCCAGGGAATAGCTATAAAAAACACATGGAAAACTTGTGTGTGTGTGTGTGTGTGTGTGTGTGTGTGTGTGTGTGTGTAGGAACTACAGAAATAATGCAAAGAAAAAGTACCTAAGTTTCTTGGAGAAGGAAAGCACATGCAACAGTTGCCTTTTATATTAGCAAAAATCATAAAGATAACATGGGGTGCTGGATTAGTAAACATAATCTTGTGCTATGACATAAATTAGTCTAAATTACAACTTTTACTTTGCAAAATCAAATTTATTTATGCTTAGAATCATGTCAACTAATCAGATGGAAAATACATTAACCATCATATATTTTAGTTATCTACTAAAAGGCCTCCAAACAGAACCACACTTTAATTTATGCTGGTATCAGAAACTAGTTATATCATTTATTTATTTATTTATTTTTAAATGCAGATAAAATCTCTCTTTTTTTTTAAAGATTTTATTTATTTGACAGAGGCAGAGATAGTGAGAGCAGGAACAGAAGCAGGGGGAGTGGGAGAGGGAGAGCAGGCTTCCCACCGAGGAGGGAGCCCGATGTGGGACTCGATCCCAGGACCCTGGGATCATGACCTGAGCCGAAGGCAGACGCTTAACAACTGAGCCACCCAGACGCCCTAAAGTGGCAAAGAATTTGGCTGAACTGTGTTCTAGTATTTTGTGGAAGGTACAACTTATGAGCAATAAAACTGAGTATTTAGCTGAGATTTCTTTTAATTTAAATTCAATTAGCCAACATATAGTACATCATTAGTTTCAGATGTAGTGTTCAATATTTCATCAGTTGCGTGTAACACCCAGTGCTCATCACATCTTGTGCCCTCCTTAATGCCCATCACCCAACTACCCCCCCTTCCCTCCAGCAACCCTCAGTTTGTTTCCTATAGTTGAGGGTCTCTCATGGGTTTCTCCCTCTCTGATGACTTCCCATTCAGTTTTCCCTCCCTAGCTGAGAAGATTTCTAAACAAAGCTTTGAAGGTGTGACTTGGTTCCTTCTGACTGCTTACAGTAAAATGCAAAAGGAGAGGATGAATTAAACAAGGAATTGTTAAGCAAAAAGAACTAGAACTTGAAGATTCAGAAAATTCTCAGCCTATATTATATTGTAAAAAACGAAAGAGTTTGTTCTGGAGAGAACACTAAGGGTATGGCTGAACAACCATTTGATAAAGAGATCCTGGGTGTGACTCATGGACTTAACCAATCATCTCAGCAGAAGCCAGGAATAGAGATATTATACCAGCAGAAACACTGCCAGTTTGAACTACAGACAAAGCAGGATGGAATTAAGGAAGGCTGTTGGACTTCTTGGATTTTACAGGCTTGACCATTGAACAATTTGGCTTCAAACATGAGCTATCCTGCAAAAAACAAGGGTAGAAAAGATCCCAAAGGTGACTCAGAGATGATCTGGTTGCCACTCCTACCACAGGCGCAGAGCCACCAGCCTGGGGGGTGGGGTGGGGCATGGCTGCCTCAATCTTGGTTTCAAAGGGCAAGACTGCAGCCCAACCAAGTCCTGTGCGTGGTGTTCTGTCCAGCTGAAGGGGCGTGATGCTGTCACCCCAATAGGCCTAGAAGGCAGAGCATGGAACCAAAGAAGTTTATTCATGAGCCTTAAGATCTAATGGAATTTGCCTTGATAAATTTTGGACTTGCTTAGACTCTATCACCCCTTCCTTCTTTCTGATTTCTCCCTTTTGGAATGAGAATGTCTATCCTATGCCTATTCTATATTGTACTTAGAAGCCCATAATTTGTCTGGTTTGACAGGTTCACAGGTTCATAGCTGGAGAGGAATTTTACCTCAGAATGGACCATGCCTCAAGTCTTATCCATACCTGATTAAGATGACAATTAGATGAGACTTTAGACTTACAGTTGATGATGGAATGAGCTAAGACTTTGGGGCTAGTAGGCTGGAAGGACGTGAATTTGAGGGGAAAGACACAAACATTCAGTCCATAACATAGTTTATGGCACACAGTAGGCATTCAGTAAATGTTTGATGGAGAAAGAAATGATGGCTAGCAAATCTCTATTTTTTAGTCATTCCCCCAATTTCTGAGCCTAGAGTTTTACCTGCCTTCTGGATATTCTATTTGAATGTTCGTCTGCATGTCAAACTCAAAGTATACTCAATCAGATTATCATCTTTCATTTTTTTTCTCCCTTTCTCTCAGCTCCTCCACCTCCTTACTTTCTCTACAACTATTTTCTCATTCATTCCAAACTAGCTAATTCCTCTCCTGGCTCCTGGCAGAATCTATCCATAGAACTCTCAGCCAACTCTTTAAATTGCTCACAAAGAAGATAAAACTGTCCCTTTGAACTTTATTTCATACTATTGTCTTACAAAGTGGACAATGTGTGCTTACTCAGGACGTCCTACGATTTCTACCTCCAAGTCCTTAGGACTGCTGTTTACTTTGCTTAAAGTGGTAACTTGTATCTGTGGGTATCTAATAAAATTCACTTGATAGAAATGAAAGTATAATTTATCTTAGCGGTGGTTACAAACTAACTCATTAAAAACAAAAATTTCTTTAAAATAACATAAAATGAACAAAGGAAATAAGTTCATAACAATATAGAGAGGAGATGATATGAGCAAACCACAGATCAATGAATTTGACAATAGCAACAGAAACTATCAAAAACAAAGGACAGAGGGAAAAACAACTGTGGAAGAAAAAGAACAATTCTAGCCAACTTTTTCATATAAACTGACAAGCTGAATTTAAAATTTATATGGAAATGCAAAAGCTATATAATACACATAACAACTATGCAAAGGAAGAAAGTTGGAGGACTTAAAAACACCTGATTTCAAGACATTATAAAAACAGAATGATGAAGTCCATATAAGATAGACACATGGGTCAATGGAACAGAAATGAAAGTTGAAAAAGAGACCCACATATTTATTTATTTGATTTCTACATAAATGCCTAGGCAATTCGATAGGGAAAGGAGGACAACCAATTCTCAGAAAACAATAAAGGAGAAAACCTTAGTGATATGGGGGCATTCTAGGAGTCAACAAACTGGCCTGTGGGCCTGTTTTTGGAAATAAGTTTCATTGGAATTTGCTTAAGAACTGTTTATGGTTGCTTTATTGTTACAATAGCAGAATCAAGTAGTTACAACAGAGACCATATGGCTTGCAAAGCCAAAAATATTTACTATGTAGCGCTTTAAAGAAAAGTTTACAAATATTTCTTAAATAGGACAAAAATATAGCATGAAATATAAAAAACTGAGGTATTGGACTTCATAAAAGTAAAGAAATTAATGCTTTTCAAAAGACACTGCTAAGAAAGAGGCAAGCCATAGGTTGGGAAAAAATATTTGCCAAACATGTTTGATAAAGGATTTGTATCCAGAATATAAAAAGAACACTTATAAATCAATGATAAAAATACAATCAAATAAAAAATGGACAAGAATTGAACAGACACTTCATCCAAAGATACATGGGTGGCAAACAAACACATGAAAAGATGCTCAACACCACTAGTGATTAGTAAAATGCAAATTAAAAGCACAATGAGATATCATTATATGCACACTAAAATTGTTAAAATAAAATTTAAAAAATGACAACACCAAATGTTAAAAAGGAAAAAAGGCAACTGGAATTCTTATACACTCCTGGTAGGAATGCAAAATTGCACAGCAACTTTAGAAAAGTTTGGAAATTTCTTTAAAAATTGAGCATTTACTTTCAATATGACCCAGCAACTCATCTCCTGGGTGTTTACCTAAGAGAAATAACAACGTATGTCCACACAGAGATGTGTAGATGGATGTTCATAGCAACTTCATTTAATAGTCAAAAAGTAGAAACCACTCAAATGTCCATCAACTAATGAATGGCCAATAAAAGCAATAAAAGGAATCAATTCTATTGATACACATAGAAACATGGTTAATCTGAAAAGTATGCTCAAAGAAGCCAGATACAAAATACTATATACCATATGATCCCATACATATGAAATTCTAGGAAAGGCAAACTATGGAGATGGTAAACAGGTTAGAGGTTGCCAGGGGCCAAGTGGTAGGCAGAGGAGATTGACTGCAAACAGGCACATTTCTGAGGAGATAGAAATGTTCTGTGTTATGATTGTGGTGGTTACACAACTGTATACATTTATTATGACTTAACTGAATTGTACATAAAATTGGTAAATTCTATTATATATAAACTATACGCCAATAAAGCTAATGAAAAAAACCATAAGCATAAAACAAACATGGCTGATTACGGATCATATATGTATGTACTGTTTGTTTGGAAGAATTCACACCAAACCCCTAATAGCAGTTAACTCCTCCGAGGGTAGAAGAAGG